AATGAGATAAGCTTAATCTAAATCCTTCCACCCCAAACCATTCCCTTTTTCTCTGCTATGACCTCGCTGCTGTCAGTGTTGAGGACTGTCCGTTGCCATCTGTCCTTTGTCCCCTTTTCCCCCCTCACCCCTCCCCAGGCGACGCCTGCAGCTGAACTCCAACCAGGCCTTCTTCCTGCTGGTGAACGGGCACAGCATGGTGAGCGTGTCCACGCCCATCTCCGAGGTGTACGAGAGCGAGAAGGACGAGGACGGCTTCCTGTACATGGTCTACGCCTCCCAGGAGACCTTTGGAGCAGCAGCTTCTGCCTAGGACAGCAGCCCTAGCCTAGGATTTGGGTTGACCCTTGGCCATCACCCCCACTCTTCCCCACGCACCCCCCAGGGAAAGAACCGGATGTCACCCACGCTCTCAGTCCTTAGCATAGTCTTGCTTTAGCAGGTGTCTCATCTCACCTTGCCTTGTTTGTGACTATTAAACAGTACAGACGAGCACCTCCAGCTTTGAAACCTGCCCTTATAATAATAATAATAATAATAATAATAAGCCACACCGGCACATTTACAGGTCTGGACCTGATGAAAGGAGCCCAATTGTGCATGTGACACTTGCAGAGAAAGGGACACTCGATTTACTTTTAACAAGCAAACAGGCACCAGGAAGGAACTAAAGTGTTTCCTGTGAGTTTGCTGGAAAATCTCCCTCCAATTCCTTAAATATTTTGGTTTTAAATGGGAAGGTTTCTCATGAGAGCAAATGCATTTTAATGTTCCAAAGGGGAGCATTTTCTTCTGCAGCTCCATCAGCCTCGTGTCAGCGCTGCAGGGAGTTGAGGCAAGTGCTTTGGGGTGAGCTGGGGAAGGACAACTCTTTGTGTCTCCGGTTTTTGGGGCGCCGCACGCTCAGGGGCGGTGCCGTTTCTGGAATACTCATACCAAACACCACAGCTTTATCGTAGTTTTAGGAAGTGTCTAACTGTAAAATGCACACCCAAACAGGTAACACTGAAATAAACTCCAGTCTGTTATGAATTCCCAATCCCTGTGTGTTCATCTGAGCTGGTGATCCTTAGGATCCTTAGGATCGTGCTCCTAACCCGGAGGTCGGCCGTTCCCGTGCCTGGCAACCGGGAGAAGCAGCTCAGGGCCGGGAGGAGTCGCTGCCCAGAGTTGACGAACAAATGATTTGTGGCACGGCCGGAGGCTCCTGGGCAGGGAGCAGGCTGTGCACAGGGGAGCTCTCCCTCCCGTGGGACAAACCTGTGTTCGTGCAGTGCTGTCCAGCGAGGCGTGGCGGGATCCCCGCGGTGTCACCGGTGTCACCGGCGGCTCGGCGCTGACGGGGACAGAAGCAATACTACAGCGCCTGGCACTGCGCGGGGTGCACGCGTTGTACCTCCTCCTCCTCCTCGTTCCTCCACTCTTTGCATGCATCTCCTTCCTCCCGGGGCCCCCTGCCCGTTTTTTATTGTCCTTTGTGTTTTTACTCCGACGTGAACTTTTCGATGCAGCTTGTTCTCTGTTTTAGTTCTGTTCGTGTAAGAACTCGTTTAACTCATTAACTGACAAATGTACTTGTAATTACGACGTGATCGACTGATATTCCTGTACAAAATGTTGCTTTTTTAAAATTAATACAGTGCTGATATGGATGGATTACATCCCAACTTAATTCTGGCTCGTGTGGTTATTCCTAGGCATTTTCACAGCAAAATAATTAAAGGAATTAAAAATAAGTCCCTGCTACTGCCAAGCTGGAGAAGCCCCCACACAGCTGAATCCCTTTAAAATGAAACCCAATACCAAGGGATTCTGTTTAACTCTTTATTTTCCATACATTAAATTTACTCAGATAAAAACATTCTAAAAATGTACAATTTAACTTTTAACAAAGTATAATAAAACATAAAAATCCCAATACCAGAATACTTGACATTTACAATTCAAAATCAAATTAGCTGAATATTAAATATTTACAAAACTATTTAAAATATTTATAAAGTTACATGCAGAATTTGTAATACTAGAAGTGATCGAAGTAAAAGAAATGGCTCAAATGGAGCAGGAATTTTCCTTCATTCCTAATGGAAAGTTATGTCCAAGAGAAGCTGTTAATCTGCACTTGAAAACACACAGGATTTGCTTTCTGCTTCAGTACCAACACAGTTCTTGTGTACATCGGGAACATTTCAGGGGAACAAATGGGTAATTCCAAGGGTTTATTACAAGAGCTGTGGGGCCTCAACCAGCCAAAGTGATTCCTACTCTCACAAAGGCTCCATTACGTGGATTTTTGTCCAGATTTGCCCGTGCTCATCCCATTTACAGGTGTCCCAGGCTAACCCAAATCCAGTGCTCCAGGGTCCCTCTGGCACAGCTCTGCTCCCCTGCAGGATTTTGGGAGGAGCTTTGCCCTGCCTGGTGCCCCAGCCTGGCTCATCCCGGGGTCTCTGCCCTGGGATCTGGGGGGGATGGCCAAGGCCTGGTGCTGGACTGTTACTTTGGGAAGTCTGGTGCTTAATTTGCCAAGATTTAATGACTGTGGTATGAAAAGGTTTCACAAAAAGCTGAGTGTGCCAGAGCTGAATAAAAACTAGTTTTGATAAACTTTAATAATGGTTCAAATATAGTTTTCAATAGAAGTCGGGTGGAACCCTTGATCAGTATCTTGGTTCCCTCTCCTCCCTCTCTGCTCTCCCTGTTAGGGTCAAGCCCAGAATATTTATTAATGCTTAATTTGCAGGGTGAGGAGGAGTTTGCTGGAAATTCCATCCTATTTCGAGTCTTTCCATCATCCAATGGAAAATGCAGCTGGAACTGCAGCACCTGCTGCTCCCTCCCCTGGGAAAGGCTCCTCACTGATTCTCTGTGCCCCTGCAGGGAGATGACTGGGGATTCCCTTCCCTCTTACACTGAAAAATCATTCCCATTCCCCAGTGAAATCCAGCTGGAGAACTAATTCTTTTTATACTTGTAGGACAAAGATAGGGCTAAATAACATTCTTTGAAATCTCCATCTTTCAATGTACAAAAATAGGCTTTAAGAACTGGTTCCTTCAGGCAAGGCAGCTGGAACTCTACTACTCCAACCCAAGCTGCCTTGCTTTTTAGGGGTAGAAAGATGGATTTGTGCCTTTTAAGAACAGATGAAGGATAATTTTATGGAATTAAGGTGCTCTGTTCGGACTTACCAACTTTGGTGGTTCTGGGTACAGAGTGGAGGGTGTTCACTGGCAGGTCTGAAGCCCCAACTCTCTGGGATTTGGGGAAGGCTCTGAGGTTGCTGCTGGCTCACCAGATTTTCCTCTCAGGACACTCGTGTTGCCTCCAGGTCCTTCTGGATTGGATCTTACTCCAAACCCAGACCCAACTGTTCCAAAGCGTCCCCCAAACGCAGCCATGAGCCACTTGAAGAAACATCAGCCTTAACTTGACACAAAAGAAACAATCCCAAAGAAAGGAATGAAACAGTTTGCTGGAAACATCAGCCTTAACTCTACACACAGGAAAGGATCCTAAAGAAAGCTCTGGAGAAAGGAATGAAACAATTTGCTGGACAGAAGTTCAGTTTTACAGTCCTTTTGATATGATTTTTTTTTTCTGTGATGAAGATCAGACACAACTGTGCCCAGCCTTGGGCAGTAAAACAGAACACACCTGGTACAGAAATGACCTTTTTTTTTTTTTTTTTTTTTTTTTTTTTTGCTGCTGCTGTTTTTTTGCTGTTTCAAGAGGGTTTTGAACACTCACATGTGTGTTGCAATACAGTTTCTTTAAATACAATTTTAAAATATTGTTTAAAAAAAGTGAAAAAAATAATACCAACAACAATAATAATAACACTAAGTTTGGCTTTCAGCACATGTTCCAGGCCACTGGAGAGACCCTCAAAGCTGCAAATAGTAAACATGGAACTGCACGTTTTCCTTGGGCATGATGCAGTGGGACAGACTGTTCCTACCATTGTCTCGAGCTCATTAAGGCAAAGTAAATTGCATTGTCAGTTTTCATCCCTTTAGTGTTGTAGGTCTGAAGGTTGTTCATGGGAACACGGGGAACGTCCTCAAACGCAGGCAGAGCCAAGAGCTGGGCTGGGGATACACAAATCGGGGGGTTCTTATTGCATAGCAATAAAAAGGATTTATTTTTGTTTGTTTGTTTGTTTGTTTCTTTAAACCAACCCTTCTGCAAATTCAGATTTTGGATCCCTCCCTGGGCCGTGTTTGGTTCTGCCCACCCACATTCTGGAGGCTCATGATCCCGAGAGGCTGAGACTGCCCTTGCAGAGACAGGGACACGTTTTGGGATGGCCCAAAATGTTCCTTTCCTATGAGCACGGGCCAGCAAGGGCTGAGCTCCCCCCTCCCACGGCCCCATCTCCTGGGGGCAGCTCTGCACAGCTCCAAACCCTCCTGCTCCCAGAGGACTTCCCAAATCACTGCTCCACTACAAGTCCTATGGATTCATCCTGCTGGAAGGAATAGCTCCAAGTGTAAACAAGGCTTCAGACTTTAAAGGTGTCCCCCAAATTACAGGATGCAAGTATCTCTCTGTCAGACACTTTTACAGAGGAGGCCTCACCCATTTAATGCCGTCAAATTCCCGGGGGGGGCGGGGAAGGGAGCCATGAGGATTAGGATCTTCTTTCAACCAGACAGGACCAAAGTGTTTCAAATTAGCAGTTCGAGATGGGTTTGGCTTCCTCTCGAGTCCTAATTTAGATTTGTCACCCACAAATGATGGACTAAGTAGTTAACACCAAAGCTACTCATCTACAACCTACTGCAACGAAGGAGGCCGACAAGAAATCCTTCCAAGTCTTGATAATAATGAAGTTTTTACTACCTTTTACATGTTTGACTCCCACCACTCCTGAATCCTGGGCTAAGGAGCCAAAGGGTATTTTATATAAAGTAAAGCAAAAGCTTATCAACTCTGCTGCCAGAGTTCTTAGTTTGATTTTTTTTTTTTAAAGGATGGTTTAAAATTCATTTACAAAAGCAGAATAATAAGGTTTCTGTGAAAGAGACCTATATACAGTAACAGGACGTAAAGGTTTTGTGTATAACAGGAAAATATCCTTGAAGCCTTTATGACTCTGGAGTCTCTGGGACTTGGACCCTTGGAAACTAAGTTTATTCCAGTGCTGGGAAGCCAGCACTAGCTAGTAATAGGTGAGACAATGAAGCACGAGTTTGTTTCCAGAAGGAACCGAAACTGCCGTGTGTGTTCTTTTGGAAGGGAAAAAAAGAGACTTTTTAGGATTTTTATTGTGGAATTAAGTCCCGTAAGCCTGCTGGTGCCAATTTGTAAAGGTTGGAACTTCTTTGCCTCTTGCACTGGTCTCAGAGTGACACTGTCTGCTAAAAGTGCAGAAAGCTTGAAGAGTTTTACATTCTTCTGTAGTGCAATCCTTAAAAATCCCAGAGATTAGTGCCTGATCACTTTTGAAAAAAAGTAGACATTTTACCTAGCCCAGGGGTGCCAAAGTCCTTCCAGCCACTCCTACCTTCCACCTCAGAACAGAGCTGCCCTGGAGTCAGGCCTTTCACCTTGGAAAAGTCCCATTGTGGCAACGTTCTCCAGCCAAAAAAAAAGCACAGGGGATGTTGTACTTCCAGCAGGAACTGCAGCTGGCCAGCTCCACCATCCATCTGTCCATCCATCGGTCCGAGGACACGGAGTCAGGAGTTCCAACAAACAAAGCTTGAATTTGGCAATCAAAACTGGGTTGGCTGCACCCCTAAGCTAGATTTTCTACCTAGTCTAATAAAGTAAAGCACCTTTGGATTAAAAAATACATTAAGCTTAACAGCAACTGGACGTCTCAGTTTTGTGGTTCGATCTCCGTCGCTCTCCATGGCTTTACAGCATCGTGGTGCCAGGTGGGGAAACCTCAGTCTGTGGAGTCCAGACTTTCAGAGGGAGGGGCGTACTTCAGCCTGAACGTACCTGGGACAGGGACAGGGACACAGGGTTACACACCACTCACCTCCCACAGCTCCCCAAACCAACCTGCTGCTTCCTATACTGGAGCTTGCCTGGAATTTTAGGGTTGGCACAATTTTGTTTGGGTGGGAAAGGACTTTAAAGATCATCCAGTTCTAACCCCAACAGCTTCCACTAGCCCAGGGTGTTCCAAGCCTGTCCTTGGGCTCTGCCAAGGATCCAGGGGCAGCCACAGCTTCTCTGGGCACCCTGTGCCAGGGCCTCAGCACCCTCACAGGGAAGAGTTTCCTCCCAATATCCCATCTAACCCTGCCCTCCTTCAGCTTAAAGCCATTTCCTCTTGCCCTGTCAGTCCATGCCCTTGTGAAAAATCTGGCAGACTTTAAATGGGAATTTAATTAATGAAATCAAATCCAACTTAAAAAGACATCAGTCTCCTGCATTTCTGAAGTTCTCTCACTCAGAACTAATGAGGCAGCGGCTCTGCTTCCCCTGGCCACTGCCAAAACATTTGCCACAGGAATTCCACTCAGTATTTACCTTTTTCCTGCTGTCAATTGCTGCCCAACACCTGACACTTGTTAACTGATGGTGTTCAAACTGTTGAGACCACACAAAAAATGCATCCAGGTAAAGGTACAAGGTATGATGTCAAATGGAACCTGAGTGCTCTTCACTCAGAGTTTGTATTTCATTCTTTAACCCACACCACTCTCAGATTATGTCAACATCAAGACAATCAAAATAAAAAAGAAAAATGAGACTAAAAAGTGCTCTTGGTAAAGGAGTATTTCTCTTTTAGCTGTTTGCTGCTTGGAATTAAGGATTCTCCTGGAGAAGCATGTAAGCAACATGCCCTATAAAATAATTACAGCAGCAAACAGGACCTTCAGGAGGGTTTGAACAGCAATTCTTCATTTAGGTTATTGTGTTGGGCAGGAAGGGAAGAGGAACAGAGATTTCAGTTTCTAAAATTCCAGAGGAATTTGCAATAATGACCAAAGCTGACCTGGCTGACAATGCAGAAGCAGCAACAGCAATTCTGCTGCAACCTCTCCACGGCAGCTCCCTCCCTTACTTGATGTTTCTTCTCTCCCTAAAAAGCAGTGCCAACCCCACAGAGCACACCTGGGACCTCACCTGGCTCCTCCTAGGGACTGCCTAAAATCAACTCTCAATAACAAAATATTTTTCCAAGCCAGAGATTCCAAGATGCCACTGGGCCCCAGGGGCAGAGCTCAAGGCCGCACTGTGTGTGTCCCCCCACAGAGCCTTTACCTTGCCGATTGAAATCCATGGGTGGCTGTTTGCAGTCCTGAGCTCTGTGCCCGCTGGCCCCGCAGTTGTAGCACGAGAGGTTCCCGTTTTTTTTGTGACCCGACCCGTTGCCGTTGCCCATCATTCCCTGTGCCTGGTACACCCCGGCCGTGCCCGCCATGAAGTTCTGCATGGGGGGCACGGCGAAGGTGGACTGTCCTGCCATCACGGAGTCGGGGGCCAGGCCGCTGTTGTAGGCCGTGTGCACCACGGGGAACGTGGTGCTGCTGTTGTACTGCTGCGTGTTGATGTAGCCGTTGCTACACAGGGGGTTGAAGGGCAGGAAAGGGAAAGTAAACATGGAAGGTCCTGAAAAGGGGTGCTGGAAATAGTTGGCGTAGCTGACGGTCATGCCGCTGGAGCCGCAGTTGCCGCTGCAGCCGCAGGAGCTGCACACCATGCAGCCGGGGGGCTGCGGCGGTGGCTGCTGGTGGTGGTGGTGGTGATGGTTCTGGTTGGGGACGGGCACGCTCCCGGCCGAGCCGCCGCCGCCGCCGCCGCTGCTGCTGCTGCTGCTGCTGCTGCTGCTGCTGCTGCTGTAGAAGTTGTTGTCGGCGCCGGAGGAGAGCGTGGGGCTGGAGCTGGGCGCGGGGCAGCTGGGCAGGTTGGCCATGGTGGTGAAGGACGGGGACGGGTGGCTGCTGGAGGAGGCCGCGTTGCTGTTGGCGCAGAAGCTGCCCTGCATGGGCGCCACGGGCACGCTGCTCATGGCAGAAAAGGCAACTTTGGTGTTGGCTGTGTACAGAGCAGTCCGGGGGTTGATTATTGCGGGGGACACCGTTATTTGCATATTACTGGAGCAGGAAGTCTGTCCGGCCATGGCGGAGTCGGTGGGAAGAGACGACGACACCAGGAGCTTGATGGGCGGACGAGCCACGTGGAAGACTGTGCTGGATGTCACCGTGGCAGCAGTGCTCGTCTCCACTATGAGTCCTGGCTGCTGGGCTGGTTTGATCACTCTGTCCAGAGTGGAAGCGTGGACGACTTTGGTCCGAGGCCCAAAGTTCATGGTGGACGTGGGGGAGCTGCTCTCGGCACCCCCCGACAGCACCTGCAAGGGCTGGTGCGGGGAGGACGCGGACATGACATCCACCACGGCGTTCCCAAAGCCCTTCTCCATCTTGATGCTGCCCCTCGAGCCGGGAGACACTTTATTCCTTTCTTCCAAAGACAGGAGGGAGTGCACAGAGGACGAGAGCAGCTTCATGTCTGCGGAGCCACGCTCTGGTTTGTGCACGGAGCCCAGCATGCGGATGGGGGTGATGTGCGAGGGCGTTGGGGACAGCATCTGCATGGGCAGGGCGTGGTGGCCAGCGGGGCCCGAGCCAGCCTCGTTCTGCACGGGCAGCACCTGGGCCGTGGGCCTGGCAGAGCTCGAGGGGAAATGGTTGAGCAGCATCACCGGCTTCTCCTTGTCCGAGGTGTCCAGGTGGAGCTCCAGGCCTGGGGAGAGAGGAGCTGTGAGGGCAGCCCTGGGCAGGGCAGGGGGCACAGCTGGGGGGCTCTGCTTACGTCTCTCGTTCTCCTCGGCGCTGTCCGAGCTCTCCTCGCGTGTCTGGATCCCCATGGGGCTGGAGCTGGAGCTGGAGTACTCAGAGGAGCTGCCCTCCCGGGGCAGGGGGTGGGCTGGCTGATCCACGTCCACTCGCAGCTCTGCAGGGACAGGGGACACGCAGGTGACGCTGGCAGCACCTCAGGAGAGCACAGCCGTGCTCAGCACTCACAGGGATACTGCCCACTCCCACCAGAGCCATGGGAAAAAAATCACTTTTTATTGCCTCCAATAATCACTGAAATCAGACTTTTTGCTTGGTCCCTATTAAGGCTTTTGGAAGATAAATCTTGGGGAAGAAGCAGCACAGGAATGAGCTGAGCCTTGTGCAGCACAGCTGAGCACAGCAGTGTCCCCTGTCCCCTTACCTGCAGCGTGGTTGCCCCGGATGCTCTGGATGGGCCCCACGTGGGAAGTGGGGGGAACCCTGGCCACCCCACTGCTGGTCACTGAAGAAGGTGTGGAGGGGTTTAGGCACCGTTTCTCTGATTTCTCCCTACAGGGTGATGGAGAGAGGCATGAAGAGACAGAAACTGGCTAAAACACAACCACAAATAAATCAGTTTCTGAATGAAACCAAAGCAGACAAAGCCCATTGAACAATCCACTGACGCTGTGCTCATTTCAGATGGAAACACTTGGAAATCACATCAGTGCCGACCATAACTGCCAGCAGTCAGGGTTGGACTATCTGCCATCTGACTACAACACTGTGCTCTTATTTGTCCAGGGTAAAACATCACCAAACCCTGACTAAACTCTCAAATTCTATCCCATATTATGTCAGCACATCCCAAACCCAGCCCTGCACACCAAACCCGAAGAGGAAACAAACACAGTCCCAAGTTCTCCTTTTCCAAACAAACTCTGGAAAAACTAAGATTGCTGAAAAAACGCTGCCAAGAAGCTCTGATAAATGGGCACAGATTTGGATTTCTAATTGCTTTTTAAGGAACAGCAGTAGCTGCAGAATAAACACTTCTCTGTAAGTGGAGATGCAAAAACCAGGACAATTTGTTGCACCAGTGTCCCCAGAGGGCTGTCACAGCTGCCTGGGGTCACTGTGGGGCTCTGAGGCAGTTCCCAAAGTAGCTGTGCTCCACCCATATGGGTTGGAGCCAAAAAACTCTCCCCTCCCAGGAAAAAAAGGCCTGACTTTGGGAGTGCATCCCCTGGGCTTGCAAAGCCAACAGCTCCCATCGATGTCAAAGTGGATGGGAAGCCCAAAATCTTTGCAGTAACAAGTTGTGTGTGTTTAAAAAAACCTGAACACAATATGTATGTTTTGTAGATTCAAAAATTTCGTATCCTTATCACAACCCTGAAGAGGCAGCAGTAAAACAGAAAGTATTAAATATTGCTCAGTAATGGAGATAATAATCATCCATATCTCCAGGTGGGAATCATGGTAGGTTTGTGGTCTGGGAAGCAAAAATCACTGTAAAATTTGCATTTTTTGACTTTAAAATGTTAAAAAGTTCCCCCAGCCCTCACTTACTTCTCCAGCTCTAGTTGAGTCTTGAGCTTCTTCTTAGCTCCCATGGTGAGGGACTCAAACTTGTTCAGATCTTCCTCAGTAAGACTCAGAAACTTGGAAAGAAAAAAATGTGTTTATTTTTATAACCTGGAAAATTCTTATTCCCATTTTTAGTGGAGAGCAATTCCAAAAGCCAACTTTGAAACCATTTTTAAATTCAAAGAAACTCTCTACTCCAGTTTTCAATTATAGTGTAAAAGGAAAGTGTGGGGGACAAAAAGAAAGAACACCTGCAGATTTAATTTAGTTAGGAGTGTGCTGGTATTAACCAGTCACAATAAAGATGAAATAACTTGTGTGCATATTAAAATAGAATTAAATTAAAAGAGAACTTGATGCTATCAGTAAATTTAAGGATCTTAGAAAATTACTCCAGTTTTCCCATTGTGTAATTTACCACAGGAGTGCAGTGGAAAATACACACCACCAACAGTAAATTTAATAATAAAATATAGAGATAGATACAGATATTTATATTACAACATAATTAAAATGAAAGTCAGTGAAGTATGCATAACAGTATTTGCTGTTTTAAAATATACTGGAATACAGAGTTTTACTACTTTATTAAAGAAAAAAAAAACAAACAGTGTATTTCCCTTCTTATAATGAAGAAAATTAAATCAGAAGACTCTGGTAAGAGATTGAAATTAAATCCATAAAATATTCCATAACCAGCACAAAGCTCAGCCCAAGCCCTCCCTCCACTGGAGGGCGTTCCAGGCCAAAAGACACAGGACAAGGAATCTCCCATTGGAGCTGGGAAAATGCTCTCAAACCTTGTTTATATCAATTCCAGCACACACGGGTGTTATTTGGGACTCTTACAATGCAAAGACATAAGAGATGATTTTTCTACAGGAATTTCTGCAGGAAACAAACCTCACTCACTCATGTTCATATTCACGCCACGAGTCTCTGAAAATCTGTTTCTTAAAATGAGGATAACCAAGTATTTTGGGAGAAAAAATCAACAAATAAGTAGAAATGAAGAGAAATCAACATATTTAGGTATCTCCTGTGTGGTCACTGCACTGCAAAGAGAGAGAAAGGACAGCAACACACACGGAGCTCTTTGGGGAAAAAAGGCCAATTTATTGTATGGACAACCTGTATTTAAAGTGTGTTACTTGCAGCTAGGACAGGACATTAATTCATTGAATAATTGGGAAAAACATCCCTGGGACAGCACCTCAGGATGTGTCCCACGGGAAAGACACCAGGGGTTAATGTTGGTGATGAATTCCACTCTGTTTGTCACCATGTTGTCACCCTGGGAGACTCCTCCCTAACTGAAGCTGCAGTCAGCTTGTCAGCCTGGGAATGGAGCTGAGAGTCAGGAGAAATCCAGGCCTGAAAAGGATTTCCAAGCTCTCTAAATGTGTGTGTCCACATCTCCTGCACACAAAGGGATGTCCAGGGAAACAAGCAGAGCTCCTAGGGCAGCACCAAGCATTCCATGGGGAAGCCTGGGAGCAGCAGCAGCTGTTGGACAGCCCCGGACACAACACAGAGTGAAAACAGCAAGAAGGTTTTCATCAACTCATTATTGCTTTCAGAAAGTGAAAACCACCCCAGCACGTGCCAGGAACTTGTGTGATCCTCAGTGCAGATGTTCCCAGCCTGGAGAACGTGGGGATAATTTCAAAACTGGCTGCTTCCCCTCATTTCCTGCCTTACCTTTTCCATGGTGAGCTGTTTGAAGACAGGGTAATACTTGTGCAAGCGCAGCTTCCTGAGCCAGTCTAGGATCCCGTTCTGCTCCTGTGGCTGAGGGGTCTGAGGGCTGGAAGACATCAGCATGGCTGGGGAGGAGGATTCCAGCTGGGAGCGATAGCCCAGCGAGGAGCCGGCGCCTCCGGAGTGGGAGCAGTGGGGCAGAGACACGGGAGCAGCAGCCGAGTGCTGCACGTGGTTCTGGGAAGACTGAATTCCAGCCACCCCACATATAGGTCTGCAAAATAGGAACAGATTTGGGTTTAGGATGGGTAAGCTGTGTCAGTCACAGTTCAGCTGTTGTGGCATCAGAAATTGGGATTCTGGGAAAAAGCGCCCTGTTGGAGAAGAGGTATGGATTTGTACCTGCTCTGCTGCACAGCTCAGTAAAACAGGAGTTTGCAGCTCTGGCAAAGGGTGAAGCTGATCTTCACCCTACAGCAGTTCCTGCTCTGCCCTTCCTGCTGGATTAACACCCCCTTTGCTGGGAAGGGTTTTATGCCCTTTGGAAACATATTCAGACCATTGTAAAAGTCCCCTTCCAGTCAACTCCTCCAGCTCTTACTCCACAGAGTTTTCCTCAAGCCCTGAAGAATAATTTTTCTTCAATAATTTCCTTCAGTAATCATAGATATTAAATATTCAGCTGCCTCTCTGCAATTTAAAAAAGCTTTTGACAGAACGGGCTTTGCATTATTAAAATGAAGTAAAGATGGCCAAATATAATCCCATGGAAATTGTTAATCTTCCCATATGGCAAAAGAAGCCACAATATTGACTCCTTGAAGGAGGTCTGGGTTTTGTTGGAGGACATGAAAATTGCCTCTTAAGAGAATGAGTTGGAAATAAGATAAATATTTCACCTTCCAGATGTTCCCAGCGTAGTTCCTACTTTATACAGGGAGGGATTGCCAGGATCTGGAAACAAGGAACAGAGTCACAAATAGCATCAGTTTATGATATGCAGTACAAAAAAAAAAATTTTTTTTTTTAAACTTTATTTCAACTCACTTGAGCTCTGAAGTTGCTGTGAGGGAGATGAAGTGCTGAAGAACTTCCTGACATGGTCGTTTTTCACCACATGGGAAGGGAACGGGGCCAGGTACCTGCAGCAAACAAAGCTCTGTCAGAGCCTCCCAAATCCATCAGGATTGCACTCTGGACAACACAGTTGGAAATCAGATTGGAAATTTAAAAGCTGAAACACACAATTCAATTCTCAATTCTGGAAATGTAGGGATATTCTTATTCTTAGTACCAAACCCTGTTACCTCTGGGTTGTTTTCACTCTGGTGAGTGTTTCAGCAAAGATGCCTCATTTAGGAACCCTGAACACTTAAAAGGCAGAAAATGGTCAAATGTAAACTTAAAAATTGCCTTTCAAATGCAGGAACCTGAGGAATATAAAATAGAGATGGATCTCTTATTGAATTTTCTCCTCTTGGAGATAAACAGCAGATGCAGAGTCTGGCAGTTTAGGGAAAAAACTTCTGTCACGTTTTCCCTGTGCCTCTTTTAAGGGAAAAGAGCCCTTAGAGCAGAACTCCAGTGCCTCAGGGGCCTGGGGGAGGCTGGAGAGGAACAAGGATGGAGGGACAGGGGAAGGAGAGACAGCTTTGAGCTGGAAGAGGGTGGATTTAGACAGAATTTTAGGGAAGAAATCCTCCCCTGGGAGGGAGGTGAGGCCCTGGCACAGAAGCTGTGGCTGCCCCTGGATCCCTGGAATGTCCCAGGCCAGGTTGGACAGGGCTTGGAACACCCTGGGACAGTGAAAGGTGTCCCTGCCCACGGCAGGGGTGAGGTTTGAGGTCCCTTCAACTCAAACCACGTTGGGATTCCGGGGAAAAAACACCAACCTCCCAAAGCTTTGCACCTCCACACACCCAGAGGTGCTTTCCCTGGAAACCCCAGAGCTCAGTGCTGAACTTCACAGCTGAGCAGCCCCCTGGAGCAGCTCCCTCCCTGCTCCAGAGCTGCAGCTGAGCCCTGGCAGTGCAGTTGCTGCTCCATTAACCCAGATGTGGAGAGGCTGTTGTTCCCAAACAGCAGCCACACACATTCCCTGCAGCCTCCCAAATTCTCCTTGGAGCACAGCGAGGGAATGGGAATGCTGTTTGCCATGAAAAATAATCCAGGCATGCACCTGCTGGCTGCTGCCTATGGAAAACCAATGGCTTAGGGGGAAAAAAAAAAGTGTAAAGGAGAAGCTCTAATAAAGTTAATTAATATTTTAAAGTGTCATTTAATTTTATTAAAATATCATATTAGGATCAGAATAATATTAATATTACAGTAATCTCATTTTGTGTAGATAAAGACAGTAGCAGCTGAAAAGAATTTAAGTCACTCCAATTTTCCTAGGAAAATCATATTTAGAAAGAGAAACATGATGTGATCTGCCAAAGATTATGATATTTAAAATACTGGTTTATATTAAATCATGGCCAGATGATTTGTGATAATCTGAGGAGGTACAAGCTAAGGCTTCAAAACTTTCTTAGCTGTTAAAGGCTTCCAAAAATGTAATAATTAAATAATATCTAAATACATAACTAACTTTTTAAAATTAAAGTCAAATAAACACCACAACAACCTAAAACAACTGAGAAAATAAAAACTCTGTGAAAGGGGAAAAAACCCCCCCACAACCCATTCCTCAGTACAGATGGGTGAATATTCAGGTTTCTATTTTTTTCCTGAGTTTTGAGCAGTTGTTTTAAGCAATTCTGGTTATTTTTGAGTCCAAAACAAACTTTTACAAAGCCAGTGATCCTCTATTTGTTCTTCACAAGGAATGAGGAAATATCAATTCTCCAGGAAGCTTAATAGAGAATATTATTACCATCTGTATTTCTGAAGAAAGAATTCCTGAAAACTTGTTATGCACTGGAATTAATGGAACATCAAGGAAAAAAAGCTTAGGATCAGGCTCTAATTTCTTTAAAGTAATTTAGAATATGGAGATAATATTTCTACTTCCTGTTTTTTTGGTTTTTTTTTTCTTTTTGGTGAAAGAAACCAAGTGTCAAGATAAAAACCCCACAAAATGCCAGCATACCTCAGGTCTGATTCCAGGTCCATGTGGTTCCGTTCCAGGTAAAATGAATCTGGACCAGCTAAGCAGGGAATGAATTTCTCCAAGTTTTCTTCTGGATACAGCTGAGACAGCTGAAGGGGGAGGATATTAATTAAAATTAAATTAAAAGTGAAAAGAAGTTTTGTTATTTTCTATGAGATTCAAGCCACTGCCAGGTATAAATCAAATATTTTCTGAAATGATGAAATTCAATCTGAATTATCTTGGCACGTTTTGAAAAGTATCATTGAACAAAAATAGAGAGAGGGACAAAACTATTTTTTTTTTCATTTTCAAAGTGTTTTTCTTATTGTCTTTACCTTTGAAATAAATTCAGTCACTTCAGCAGAAGATTTGGTTACCAACGTCACCGAAGAATCAGACCACAGGACCTTGGGGAGGAGGAGCAAGAAGGATTTGCTTTAGTAATTAATTAAATTTGGTTCCTCAAAGTTCATAATTGGTATCAAGTGTCCCTCACAGATATTGTGATGGATGACATCAATAAAGAAACGCTTTTTTTTTTTTTTTTTTTTTGTGCACAAGGACAAAACTGCTGCTCAATTTTTGCTGTTTTTACATTTAACAACTCCTGTGGATGCTTGGAAAAGCTCCTCAGAGTTTACACAGCCCTTCCACACTGCACACATCCAGAGTTAAGCAACCAACCACGGAGTAATGGAATTTTTTCCCCTCATTATTGTTAAAGAAAACAGCTGCTTTGTAGGATCTGCTTTCCAACAGGAACAGCTCCCCCACACAAGGCTGCCTATTGCTAATTAATCAACTCCATATGCCACCAGAAATTGGGAATGGCAGCAAAAAAACCCAGGCAGGACCTTCCCAGTGAAACCTGCAGCTCCTGCTCCACACTCCATCTTGGCTATGCCCTAAAAAAAAAAGGGAATATTCAGTATCTCTTCCCACACAAACATCCTTGGATATTGAAGCATTTATTGCTTGGGAGATGGAAGTTTAATCGAGCCAAAAATCAGGATTTTTTTGGCTTGAGGAAAATCACCATGAGACAGGCCAGGGATGGATCCCTGTGGATCCAAAATATCCACTGGAGGTGTCTGGATCCATAGGGGAAGGAGCTGGGTGGATGTTTTGGGATCACAGAGCAGCTTCTCACATGACATTAGTTTCAATGACAACTCCAAACATACACAAAGTTTTTCCAGCCATCCAAAAGCTGCCAAAAAGAGTGGGGAGAGGATTTCAAAATATATTACATAAGGGAGGAATTTCCTCTCAGCAGAGCTGTTACACACACCAAAAAAAAAAAAAAAAAAAAGGGGGGGGGGGGAAGAGAAGAGAAAAGAAAAGAAAAGAAGACAGAAAAACTTGAGCAGTTTTACCAAGTTTGTGGGTTGGTTTTTTTTAAAGTCTATGGTAAATAAATATTTTTTTAATTCTCAAGGAACTTCAGAAAGCACAGGAAATAATTCTCTCTTTTTCCTAGTTCTGTAATAACCCAACAATAGTCATGACTTCTGTTTTAACTTGAATTTTCAATACTTATAAAACAATAATGTGAACTGTAAATGGGGGGGAACAATAGCACTGCAAACACTAAACTGCTCCATCCATTGACCTGCTATTCCCAAGCTCCTGAACAGAACAAAAACATTCCATAATTAGGTTTTTAACCCAGCAAACAGCAATTTATCAGCTCAGCTGAAGTCTCTGCTCTCCCTTCGGTTCAAGCTGTTGAGGCAAACACTGAGTACAGTAACTTCTGTTATTTATAGAAAAAATTTGTAATAGGAAAAGAAGTTTCACGAGATCTTAATTGGAGTGGAGACAACTGCAGGCTTCATACAGAGTTTGAAAAGCCCTTGGAAAAATCCTGTCTGTGATCGATGACATTTGGAACAATTGGGGATTCAGGAAATTTGGGACATTCTCCATGAATCCAATCCTGCAGAGATTAATGCTGCCAATATCCCAACAAAATGCTGAGCTGATGCTCTGCCCTGGCTGGGAGTTTTAAGGAATAACTTGGTGAAAGTTGTGGATAATTGGGATTCTCCTGCCTGGCTCCTTTTGGATTCTCCTTTTCCCACCCCTCACTTTGGCTCATTAAACAAACCAAAGACGTTTTCTGTGCTGTGCATCCCAAATTTTGAACTATTTGGTTGCAGCTGGGAGAAAAGCAGTTTGGGAGGTCCTGAGCAGCACCCAGATCCATCCCTGCCATTCAGCCAAGGTTTCATGGGATGAACTCATCCCTCCACCGGAATTGGGAGCAGAACCCAAGCTCCAGAGGCTGCTGCTCCTGGTGGGCTGTGGTGAACCACACTCATTCCACAGCACTGCTCTCACTTCCACTGGCAGCCAGGCTGCCTTCAGCTCACAGACAGCAGTTCCTGCTCTGCCCTTCCTGCTGGATTAACACCCCTCCTTTGCTGGGAAGGGTTTTTATTCCCTTTGCAAACGCTTTCAGACCATTGTGAAAGTCCCCTTCCAGTCAATTCCCCCAACTCTTGCTCCACAGAGTTTTCCCCAAGCCCTGAAGAATTTCTCAAGTTTTTCTGTTTTCTCCAACCTTTTGGGACCATATCCCCAGGCTCCCTCCCTGCCTCTTTGCAGCAGCTGTGCCCTCAGAGCCCACATTGTTCTTTGTCTAGATTAAGACTTAAATTCTCTCTGGTTTCTGCATTCCAGCAGAAGAATGGACATTGGATATAGATATGGATAACCATCCTCTAAGTGTGGTATCATATTTCCCCCTAAATAAACACTGCCAAAATTTTCTGCATTAAAATGATTTTTTTTTTTTTGCCAATCCCCCCCTACCAACCTCTGCATCATCCACAGCCATTTATGACTTTCAAATCACTGATTAAAAACTATCAGTCCCAAAGGAGCTCTGCTTTCACAAAGGATTTTTGAGATCCAACAATAAAGTCTGAACATTTCCTTAACTCAAGCATTATCCTCCCTTCTTTCACAGGAAAGAAACTCAAACTTACCTCAAAGGAATACTCAACATTTCTTTCATTCTTCTTGTGTGCCAGCCCCTTTAATTCCACTTTTTCAACACTCACTATGGAAAAACAAAGAGAGAAGAAGAATGGGGAGGATATTCCTAAATACAGACAGAAGTGATGACTTTTGGGAAGTGCCAGGCCTTGCTCTGAGAGCATCCCATGACCCATGGAGGTGATCCAGGTGCCAACTGCTCCAACTTCCTCCCTCAGGATTGTTGGTACCACCACTTCATTCTATTTTCACTTGCAGCCTTCATTCCAAACATTTCAACCCAAATAATCCACTCCAAGCAAAGCTCTTATCACACCACTCATCGCTGTAATAACACATTACACACACATGGAATTATCTTAATACCATCAAGGAATAAACACCATCCCTCCCCCAGGGAAACTGGGATGAGGAAGAAGTCTCCATGTTTTCAGGGCCTGGTTTTACAAGTTCAGTGTGGTTTCATGGCTCTGTTGATATCCTGACTCCTCCCTTCCTGCAGTTTCACAGAAAATTTCAGCCTCCATTGGAACAAGGTGTAAGTAAAACCAGGATTTGAGTGTGGAAAGGATGGAATGTCAGGACAGGTCACTGATTCTAAAGACACCATCTCACACTTCAGGTATCTGATGTGCTGAATTCCTGGAGACTCCCACATCCCAAGATCCCCAGATCAGGAATTCACCATGAAAATCCTTTACTTCACTGACTTTCTCTTCTCTTATAAATTCCTCCTGCCTTTTGACTCCACTCAAGGGGATACACACATGGACTTTTTTCTTACAAAAAGCCAATTTACATTGGCTTAAAACTACAAAAGCAGAATTATCCCAACCCAGAGTCACTAAAATTGTACCTGTTGAGTGCCAGGTGCCTGAAGGGATGTGTGCTATGCATGGTGTATTTTCACTGAGCAGCCCTAACAAGCAGAGCCCAGAATTCTGTCACTTTATTTCCAGAGAATCACAATTTACAAGCTTTTTACCTGTTTTCAGGACTATTTATTATTAACTTTTTTGTTATCAGTAAGACTCGAACCAATGTTTATCACAAGGAACTTCACAGAACACTGCAGTGCAAAAGTTACAGCAGCACCACTGCAACAGGGACCTGCTTGTGCCACCTCCCATGTCCCTGTCCCCAGGGAGGCTCCACCCAAAGCCACCCTCCTGCCCATCTGCAGCTTGATTCCAGATCTAATATTCCATATCTCATATTCTGTATCTCCTATTCCATATCTGCAAGGCATCTTCATGGGTACCCAATGCAAATACTCCATGATCCCCAAAACACAGATCTCCAGAACATTCCTGCTGGGTAAAACAGGCCAGGGACAAATAAAAGAGATAATTAATATTTCATAAAGCTCAGGAGAACCCGGTTAAGGTTTAGTTCTTACCATCCAGTCGTGTTCCCCATGATTCCATCCATGACCTGGAACTAAAACTGACTTTGGAAGGGCAATGGGATGGAATAAAACCCAGGGAAGAACCTCCTGACTGGATTCTTACCCCATTTCTGAATTCTGCCCCACTTCCATCTGGAGCTTCCTTCTATTTCCCAGCAGTTGGGGCCTGAAGGTTTTGTTCTGGCCATTTAAATATTTTATTGTGTTCTCAGAGAATCCCACAATGGTTTGTTGGAAAGGACCTTAAAGATCATTCAGTTCCAACCCTGACACCTCCCACTGTCCCAGGCTGCTCCAAGCCCTGTCCAGCCTGGCCTTGGACACTTCCAGGGATCCAGGGGCAGCCACAGCTGCTCTGGGAATCTGTGCCAGCCCTGCCCACCCTCCCAGGGAACAATTCCTGCCCAATATCCCATCTAAGGGCAGTGGAAGCCATTCCCTGTGTCCTGTCCCCCCATCCCTTGTCCCCAGTCCCTCTCCTGCTCTCCTGGAGCCCCTTTAGGCTCTGCAAGGGGCTCTGAGCTCTCCTTGGATCCTTCTCCTCTCCATGTGAGCACTCCCAGCTCTCCCAGCCTGGCTCCAGCCCTTGGAGCAGCTCCATGGCCTCCTCTGGACTCATTCCAGCAGTTCCTCCCATTGGGAATCCCAATGCATTGGGACTGGGATGCTGCTCTGCAGGGGGGGTCTCAGGGGAGCACAGCAGCTCCTGTTCATTGCTGCTTAAAAATCTCTTCTTTGAGTCTTATTTCTGGTGAAAATTTTAAGAGCTCCAAAATACAGATTTACAGATGTTTGTGCCTGTCTTTATATGGAGAAAATGAAGATTTCCTGTTCTGATCCTCACAACTGGTCCTCCTCTATGTAATTCCCAATTACATCAACCCATGGGCTTATGAATAATGTCAATTTATTACTTACTGCTTTCTCCTGCACATTCTGCTTTTTGGAAAGGTTTGTTCCTTTCAAAAGATTTCACTGGGTTTCTCTCACGCTTCTGAAATGATTTTGTGCCACATGCTGAGCACCACAGGGATAAATTTGCTCACCAGACATTGCTGAACCATCCAGACAATATTTAGTGGCATGAAGGTTTGAACATGAAGATTTGAACATGCAGAAGGTTAATTTAAAAAAAAAAATCTACCTCAGTACATTCATTTAAGAGAATTTATGGCCCCCCAAGTTGTGATCACAGCTAAAATACACTGAATATTGACTGGAATTGTGAGTACTGCAGGACTATAATGAGAAAGAATGTGTAAAATGGGTATTGAAAGGGGGAATGTGGTGAAGGATGAGCAAATAACTTGCAGAAATCCTGGTGTGAACTGCTGCAACATCTGGTTTTGAAAAACACAGCCAGCGTTACGCAACATTTGTTGTTTATAGCAAAACCCAGCATCACTTTTCTGCAACTGTTCTTATCATTTGGCATTTCTAAAGGATTCAAATCCCATCTCTTCCAGTCATTCATTTTTCATCTCCAGCAATTCCAGCAGAATTGGATTACCCAGAGATATAAACTCAAGCTATTCCTGTTTTACTCTGTGGGTTAATAACAAATCTTAAATCACCCCTGGATTTTGTGGTGCTGACAGTGCCACAACCTTTTCCTGTTCAGTGTCTGGGCTGAACTCACCCAGTGAATAAAATCCACTGCACTGAATTTTGTCTGTGGAAAAGGACTGCAATTAGAAAAATGGACATTTAGGTAAAGATTTTTGCACTGAGTTTGTAAGATTAGAGCAGGAAATGCAGTTCAGTGTCCTGCAGGACAGGCTTTAGGGACAACCAACTGAATAATTCCTAATATTACACAAAGAGCTCCAGGAATTGTCTCCCAGCTAGCTAAAATACCATGAAAAATATCACTTGCCTAAAGAAATCTTGTTTAATTTATCAAGCTGTATGTTTGTGTTCTGTGGCCTCTCACCTGCTCTGTGTGTTGTTTAACTTCTGGTTGGTTTTATTAAAACAACCTTTCTAAACCTACCCTGAAGCTTAACTTTATTCAATCTGTAGTGATACAGAACTCCAGAAGAAAAGGTACCAAGCAGAAAGGGGAAAAAAAAAGATTTTTATTTACTGTTTTTACTCTCAAAAGCTCCAAGAGCTGATTCTACTCAGTATCCCAATAAATGAGTCCAGGAGCAGAAAAACCTTTGTGCAGAATTAAGGATATATGGTACTGATGTCTTTTCAGGATGCTGAATTCAGCAAAACTCCAATTTCTCAACCCAGGGGATATAAAAAGTTAAAGTTTCTAATTCAGGAGATTCCCAGAGTATATTTGCACTGGCAAAAGGGCACACAAGGCTTTTAGCCATGGAGATTTATCCATAAATATCTGAGAAATTCCAGCAGGTAAGTGGAACAGCTGGATGAGATCCCCAGGAAAGGGGGGAGGAGGAAAACAAAGGGGGCTGGAGAAGCTCAGGGCTGTAGGAGAAGCTCCAGCAAGGTTGTATCTTCTGCCATCATCCCTTAAGGGCTTTTTTCATTTTTATTTGCTGTTTTCTTTAAAGAAGAGAAGCATTTTCCATATAGTTTTGAAGTACATTTCATTGTGTCCAGCATGGAAGCCTGAGTGTGGAATACTCCAGCACTGAGGCACAGGCAGGAATCAGGCAGGACAGGCTGTGAAAACATCCAGGGAAAACACATCCAGGGAGCTTGAATTTGATCACATTTTATCCAGGTCTGTTTTCCTATTCCAGCCAGGGAATTTCACCCTTTGGGCTCATTTCTCATCTGCTCAGTTCAGTGCTCCTGTGAGGGGACACTCAATTCCCTCCCTCTGTTCACGACCAGGTGTTAAATCCTCTGCATTTCTGGCCTCCCCCTCCAAAAAAGCAGGAGCTTGGATCTCCTCCTCTTCCCAAAATGTCAGCAAAAGGCCAATCCCAAGCCTTCAGGATTTGCCATTCCTGGCTGGTCAAGGTCAGGGTAAAACCTGCACTGGGTGTGGGCAAGGGCAGAAGAGAGATTGTGGAAGCCACCTCAAATATCTCATCAGATATTGATCTTTTTGTAATTCCCTCTTTACAACTTCTGGATCCATGCCAATTAAAGGATTAGATAGATCAGTGCCTCAATCCAAACTGAGAATTTTGTGCTCCTCCTATAATGTACAGTAATTGAAAATAAATCAGGAGTGTTGATTGTGGCCCAGCCCTTTTCCATAAAATCCAATATTTCATCACTCCATACCTAGTGGATTTCCTCTGATTAAATCCCTGGATGCAGGAGCAGTTTGTGTGGGATGTAGAATGGAAATGCCACTCTCCAGGTGGCAAAATCTGAGTCTCCTGAAATTGGGTTGTGGATCTTGGTTTGTGGTACTTGACCTACAACAGCAGAAAGGCTGCAATGTATTTTTAAGCTGGGAAAAAAAAAACCCTAAGTAAAATCCTTTCTATAGGAGGCCATAACCATAAATGATGCCTCTGCACTAAAAGATTTATAAAATTTTCATTCATTGAAAGAGGCATCAAACACCATGACAAGCAACTGAGTTTGTGCTGAAAAAGTGGAACAAAAGTGAACTCATAAAATCCTTTCCACATCCCTGTTTACACAGAAATGGGAAGAAATGCAGCAGCACCACTTTCACATGGGATCTCCTCTTTGTGCTGAAGAAATGCTTCCAAAGCAGC